AATTATTATTATCATTATTATTATTATTAATTAATGCATTCATCACAAATCATTAAAGGAGAACTATGAGGTGAGTGATCTTCACTCAAACTCATAGTTCGAGCCGACGTGTGACAATGAAACTGTCACAGGGCGGCTCAATAGATCGAGAAGTGAGCGAACACATAGTGTCGCTCGCTCACTTCTCGATCTATCCCTGCAGAGAGAGGTGACTGTCACTCACGGCTCCCTGCAGGGATCCCCCCCTCCACGCTCCGATCCTCCAGCGCTGACTGGCAGAAAGGACGGGGGAGGGGGCGGGCATAGCTGGCTCTGTTTCTAGATAAGCAGAGGCAGCTGTCACTCACGCAGCTGGGTGGATCTGGGCTGTAATGTCGGGATCCGTCCCGGCTGATGCGGTCTCAGTATACCGCGAGCCGTAGCTCACTATATACTGAGCTTTGGGTTATGGGAGGACGCTAGGGCATGTCCTCCCGTGACCCTTAGCAGAACTATGGGGAAAAACACTAACCCCATACTTCTCCTTTAAATTACTGTTTTTAAATGCAAATACCCTGAGTACTTATTTTTGACTTAGCTCTGATGTCACTCTTTGCTCAGCAGCGCACATACCTCAATAGGGTGAGTGCAGCACCAGGAGCCAATTGGGTGTGCTGACAAGGAACATGTTGCCAGAAGGAGAAAGACGATAGATGACAGACAGGGAACAGGCGGGGTGACCAGGCCATAGTGCATAACCACAGTTGGGAAAAGTCAGGTATCCAGGATAGTTGTGCTGTCTGCAGAGGTTTATCTACCGCAAGGCAAACTAGGAATTTGCCTAGGGCGCCACTTTCCAGGGGGGCAGAAAATACTGCCCCAAACCAAAGAGGCAGAGGGGGCCGGACTTGCCTTTGGGCATTCTGGGCACTTGCCCAGTGGGCTGAGGCTGGCTGGCACAGCATTAGGCAGCAGCAGCTGCCTAATGAGCCAAACTGGCTGCCTAATTAGAGGACTGCCCGGTGGAGGGAAGGGCCCAGTGAGTTGTGGTCCAGCTGGCTTTGTACAGGAGGTGGTGAAGAAGCAGCAGGTGGCTCGGGGCTGGCCATAGCATGTGATCTGATGGCGGGATGTCCCAGGAGCAGGCTGGGGGACTGCAATGTATCCTGTTGGTACTGATGGCACTTCGAGCTGCAGGTAAGAGGAGCAGCACATGTATGCAGGGAAAGGGACTCTGCACAGCCCACCATAAACCCTGCACAGCTCTCCTGAGGCCCCGTGTGCGTTGTATCCAGTGACTGACAGGTTGTGCAAAATGTCCTAAACAGGATGGGGGCAAATTTAGATTGAGGGGCAAATTTAGATTGAGGGGGATGCCCAAGCTTAGTCTTGCCAAGGGCAGCACAAAACCAAAATACATCGCTGGCTGTCTGGTAGGGTTGTGCAAATCTCAGAACTGACTAACCAGAACTACAAATCTATGTGGTAAAATATCCCCCTTCTACATATTGTGTGTATTAAGCTGTTTGCCTGAAGTTCAGTTTCGAGAAAATGTTGGGAAATCCTCAATTTTCAGCTTTGAATTATAACAAGAGATCTCCTACAACCAACACCAACTCACCTGAGGATCTGGTAAAAAAGTACACGCAGATCATCCCGGTGGTGAACAAGATAATGAGAAAGGCTGCGACAAGTAACACTATTTTGCCGTTGTTCAGCTTAGACTCTTGTCCTGTAGAGATAAGATGTGTTGAGAAAGGCTTTCATATATGTTCTTGAACCTTTATAAAGGGACCATGAAAGGTGGTCGCTGGGACAGGTAGTGAGAAGAAGTTTCTCCAAGAGTTACCCAAACTGTATAAAAAGATTTTGTAGCATAGTGGCCGGAACCCCTGTCAGGCATATAACTTCCTGTCTTCATATTGAGCCGCTCTATAGCGCACCCTTCTTCAAGAAGAATTGTCTTTAGGTCAAGCATCAATTAAAAAAAAGTATCACCAACCAACCTTTTGGGATCATTATCAAGGGGCCTTCTTACTGCTTCTCACGCAGATTTCCTGTTTTGTAGCCAGACTTCCTCTACATGAAGACTATAGGATAATCTTAGCAACGACGCAGGTTAGATTTTTATCATAACAGTCATGTGATTATCAAGGTAGGGCCCCAAAATGTTAGGTGATGGTTCTTCACTGATGTTCTTCTCCAAGGAAGGTATACTAGTGGACCGTTCTGTAGGCTCATATAATGGAGGGCACCACCTCTCCAGTCCTGCACAAGCACCCTGAAACATATGGGTGATTGTCTGTATGGGATGTGGCTGATACTATTTGCCCATTGGGAGGATTTACCCTCATGTCCTGCCCTGAAGACAGTGATTACTAGGACAGGAAGTGATGGAGGACCTCCCTAAGGAGAAGCAAATTCTCCTCTTATTTGTCACCATAACAGGTCCCCATTGGAAGATTTCCCCTCTTCCCTGGTTCTCTTGAGTTGAGATTTCCTATAACATTCTATCCCCGTGATAAAGGTCACCAGGACTAACAGGAAACCGTGACAGGGGTTCTAATTGTCCCATACTCTACCAAAAACTAAAAAATTAAAAAGTTAGGGCTACACATATCCTTTAAATTGCAAATCCATTGGACTTACCTGGTAAGCAGCTTGCCCATGGGATCACAGAGGTGTTTTGTTTGCTGACAGGGTTGGTTACAACACAGATAAAGGAGACAGGTTGATGAGTTGAGGTCAAAGTTGTCTGAAGCAGGCGTCTGTCATCATATAACCTGTAGGTGTTGTTTAGTAGGTCCCCTTGTCCAGTGTCAACCATCCAGCTATAGGTTACATTACTCCCTGCGGTCACATTGCAGCTGAGAAATATGGCACATTCTTCACCTCGTCTTGACACAAAGACTTGGACCTCTGGTTTGGATGCCTCTTCTAGGAAAAATGACGTATTGATATCAGTAGACTGCACATTAATATTATGAATAGGGATGCACCGATACCAGTATTTCGGTATCGAGTACGAGTAACGATACTTATATTTCGGTACTCGTCGATACCGAGTACAGATACCGGTATCGAGGCCGGCCAAACAGATCTGACAACATGCTGACACGACCTGGCAGCCCTCACACATTCATAGCCACATTCATTAATGTACCAGTCCCTCGGCCAGCACTCTGCAAGTGGGCAGACACCACTCTCCACGTCTCCTGTGTACAGCGCGCACGTGATCGGCGCTCAGCCTGCTACTGCACATGTGCAGACTGCCCAGCGCTCTCAATCAGAAATCCTGTGCATGGGCGGTAGCCGGCTGAGCGCCGATCACGTGAGCGCTGTGCAAACAGGAGATGGCAGATCTGGCCAAGGGACTGGTACGTTAAAGAATGCTGACGGTCTATGTAAACCGGCTAAACAGCATGGAGCCAGCTCCTTCTTTCCTCACGGCACTGCCGGTCAGAGGAAATCTCCCTCTGACCAGAAGTTCCAGTATTGGGAAAGGTATCGGAGCATTTGAGCGAGTACTTGTACTCGCCGAAGCACTCGGTATCGGCACCAATACCGATACTAGTATCGGTGCATCCCTAATTATGAATACTAACTTGTTTTTGGAACTCCTTAATACATGATAGTAATGGAGTCTAAATCAGCTGAGCTGTCAGGAACCGGATCCGAAACCAGGGCCTCTGCTGTAGCTGGCCGGGGTTCTACCTGCTGAGCCACCTTAGAACCTTGGATAGCTCCTTGCCTGATAGCCTGATGATCCTCAGGTAAGCCTAGTTTCTGCTGAACTCTGAACTCCTTACTCTGAACTTCTTATTTAAGCCACGCCTCTGCACTTCCTGTTTGACAGATTATTGTGCTCCTGACAATATCTTGCTTCCTTGCTCCTCCCTTGAACTTCCTATTTAAACCAAGCCTCTGCACTTCCTGTTTGCCAGATTATTGTGCTCCTGACAATATCTTGCTTCCTTGCTCCTCCAGTGACACAATCCGCTCATACTGCTTCCCATGTACCGACCTTTGGCTGCTGATTCACCGACTACTCTCATCGTCTTCCACTCCATACCTGATACCTTTGGCTACCGACCTCGGCTTGATCTCTGACTACGCTTCTGCCGGCTCATATACTACTAGCGTCTGCTTATGTACCGAACCCGGCCTGTTTGACTACTACGACTTTGCCTGCTGTTGCAGCTACTGGACTCTGAGCCTGATCCCAGATCGTGACATGAGCACTTACCGTAGACAGTGAGATGAAACTGATAAAGCTTCATGTGTCCTTGAGTGTCCACCATCTGGCAAGTGAACAAGCCCGTGTCCTTCAACTCTAGTCCCGATACTTCCAATGTCAAGTTTTCGAGAAGTTGGACCCGGCCATGGAAACACGACTGATATGTTGTGTCCAAGGAGCCTCGGGAAAAAGAGGCCACCAAATGATCTGTTGGGGACAAGTGTCTCCAGAAGACTTCCCGGGGGTTAAATTCTAGAGGAACCGACGGTGACAGGAAGACAGATCCACCCCGTATTCCGGTAATGGGGGTGACCTCTTCAGCACTACAAAGCCAGCCTGTGAAAAGAACACATGATACCAATGAGCCAATGCACTTGTTGTAGTAACTGATCAAGTAAACATGAATGATTACCTGACATGTCGCAATCACAGGGCCCCATAGCAAAATTTTGTATGGGGCCCTGTGATTTCTAGTTACACCCATTGCAGAGCCCACTTGAGATCCCACACAGCCCACCTAAGGGTGACCCTGCAGAGCCATCATAGACTCTCTATGGTGGCTCTGCAGGGTCGCCCTCAGGTGGGCTGAACGCACTCCATTTACTGTCAGCCTCCTCTTCCTCCACGCTCGCTAATGGGCCCCGCCTCCTCCTCCGTCGCCGGGCCCCTGCCTCCCTTCCTGCTGCCGACCACGGGACCCGCCTCCTCCTCCACTGCCGGATCCGGCCTCCTCCACCGCCGCTGCTGGCTCTCATTGACTCAGCAGCGGCTGTGGAGAGGAGCGCGCTGCTGCACAGATCACTATCAGTGATCTGACAGCGGCGCGTTCTTCTTCACAGTGAAATCTGGCCCTGCCCCCCTGTGCCCCGGGCCCCATAGCGGCCGCCTGGGTCGCTATGGCGATTGTTACGCCACTGAAATAAACCCCTATGAGTATCACCTGCAGTTCATTTTATTTGGGCCGGTAGAAATTGATAATTCTGCATTTAATATTCTTGATTTAATATAATTTACTGTACTATCTTGTATCTTACCCCAAATAGAAGGGGGGGGGGGGGGTGCCAATGATTCTATTACATAGAATGGAAGTCTGGATGACGCACCCATACTCCACACCAATATGTGGTTCTGAGCCTCCAGCATGTGCTTGCCATGTGTGCATCTTAGAGTGCTTCCAGTGAATTGTTTATTGGATCTCAAACCACAGTCACCTCAGATGCCATTCCGTGACCACACTGACAACAAAAGTGTGCACGTCATTGGATTATCCCATCTACTTGGTACTCGTGGAAAAGGGAAGTTGACAAGAGCTGTGTGATAAGCCTCCGAGGGAAGCTGACATTCTCTAAGGCTCAAGGTTGTTTACTAGTTCCAGAGCGAGTATACAAACCAGGAGACAGAGAATGACAGCCAGGGCCAGATTTACTCTCTCTGCTGCCCCAAGGCCAGGTTCCTCAATGTGCCCCTCTCCCTGCCAACCTACCCCCCAATAGAGAATGGCAACCAGATAGCAGGGGTCGCAGGGCTTGTTTTCTTTTTATATTTTTTTACTTTTTTATCACTTTTTTAATTGTTATTAATTTTTTTTACTTCATCTTTTACTTTTTTTTTTCTTCATTTTTTTAATCAATCCCCCCCCCCCTGCTCTCTGCTGCCCCGAGGCCTGGCCTCGGTGGCCTTGTGGGAAATCCCTATGGGGTGATCCATGTCCAGGACTATGGGGTGATCCATAGCCAGGGCTATGGGGTGATCCATATCCAGGGCTATGGGATGATCCATATCCAGGACTATGGGGTGATCCATATCCAGGGCTATGGGGTGATCCATATCCAGGGCTATAGGGTGATCCATATCCAGGACTATGGGGTGATCCATATCCAGGCTTATGGGGTGATCTATATCCAGGACTATGGGGTGATCCATATCCAGGACTATGGGGTGATCCATATCTAGGACTAGGGGGTGATCCATATCCAGGACTATGGGGTGATCCATATCCAGGCTTATGGGGTGATCTATATCCAGGACTATGGGGTGATCCATATCCAGGACTATGGGGTGATCCATATCCAGAACTATGGGGTGATCCATATCCTGGACTATGGGGTGATCCATATCCAGGACTATGGGGTGATCCATATCTAGGACTAGGGGGTGATCCATATCCAGGACTATGGGGTGATCCATATCCAGGACTATGGGATGATCCATATCCAGGACTAGGGGGTGATCCATATCCAGGACTATGCGGTGATCCATATCCAGGACTATGGGGTGATCCATATCCAGGACTATAGGGTGATCTTTTGGCTTCCCTGTACTGTATCATATACGTCTTTGTGAGTTCTCCCCCTAGTGGTTAGCTCTATATCAAGGCATTTGATTGGCCCCCTGCCTAATGACTGTAGAGATTACCCTTGCCAGTCTTTCTGTTGGTTTCAACGGGGGCTGGCTGACCAAAGGAGTAGAAAACGTTCACGTTCCAAAGTAAATGTTCAAATAAAACGCATTTTAAAAAAACGGGGCCAATAAACAATAATCATCATCCAGCCATTTTCCAGCACAAATCCACATATATGAAGTCACATGGTTGGGTATTCAAAGTGAACACAACTTTAACCTAATTGCTCAGCCAAGTGGACACTCTCCCCCCCCCCTCCTATTAAAACCAACAGTCTGCTACATGGTAGTAAACCAACCCCATTAGGTTCAGACTGGACCTACAGACCACCATTTCTGTTTTAAGTCTCAGCACCCTTATGCAAAATCTTGGGGCACCCCAGTCTAAAATGTAACACGACATCAATGTAAAAAGCAACGTGTGGCCCCTCCGAAATCTATACCAGACCCTTATCCCAGATAGTCAAATTTTCTCGGCCAGCAAAATTATCAGATCCTCACCGGTGGAGAAGCAAATGCACCATCTGGACCAGTAAGCAGAGCCCCAGAGCCCCAATGTGTGTTAATGAAAGCCTTAACACACATTGATACATTGTTTACACAAAGTTGTATGAAAGAATACAAACATTTACAGAGCGGACATGGCCTTTAAGCCGGATGGTTGTGTGGTCACTCACCGGTGTGGCCAAGCAGCAGCAGCAGAAGACTCAGGACCCAGCAGACCGCTCCCCTCCTATTCATGATTCTGTACGTCCACGGCTGACCACTGGTCTTCGTGTCCTGACTCCGGAGCCTCTGCGGTCTCTACTAAAATCCCCTCCAGTTTGTATGCAGAGAATCCAAACTTCCCCTGATCTTCCTTCTCCAGTCTTCTAACCAATGGGGACATTTCATCTGGAAAGGGGAACTCCACTTGTGGTCGATGATGCAAGAGCTCCCGAGCACTGTCGTGACATGTCTGCAGAAATTCTTAACTTCTCCAACCGGCACGGGTTTGAGGTTTGCTGTGGTTAAAGGGGACACTCTCGCTGAGATATTGAAATGTATGTGACTAAATATGGGGGGGGGCGTAAAATGGGGGTACAGAAAGGTGGAGTGTTCCTTTAAGTTTGATTGCGTTTTCTGACAGCGTTCATCGTTCCTTTTCAGGAAAAATGCAATGATTGACTTCTAATAGCTCGTGCCCCCACCTCCCCTCCATGCAATAGAAGACGTATTATATGCACCCCTCAAGTGGCCCGTGCCCCCACCTCCCCTGTGATAGAAGAGGTATCATAAGCATCCCTCTGTTGTCCCATGCCCCCTACCTCCCCTTCTCCGTGCCCTGCAATAGAAGAGGTATCATACGCACCCCTCCGGTGTCCCATGTCCTCTACCTCCCCTCTGTGCCCTGTGATAGAAGAGTTATCATACACATCCCTCCGGTGTCCCATGTCCCCTACCTCCCCCCCTCCATGCCCTGCATTAGAAGAGGTATCATACACAACCCTCCGGTGTTCCATGTCCCCTACCACCTGCCCCCTCCGTGCATGCAATAGAAGAGGTATCATATGCACCCCTCCGGTGTCCCATGTCCCCTACCTCCCCTCCGTGCCCTGCATTAGAAGAGGTATCATACGCACCCCTCCGGTGTCCCATGTCCCCTACCACCCGCCCCCTCCATGCCCTGCATTAGAAGAGGTATCATACACAACCCTCCGGTGTTCCATGTCCCCTACCACCTGCCCCCTCCGTGCATGCAATAGAAGAGGTATCATATGCACCCCTCCGGTGTCCCATGTCCCCTACCTCCCCTCCGTGCCCTGCATTAGAAGAGGTATCATATGCACCCCTCCGGTGTCCCATGTCCCCTACCACCCGCCCCCTCCGTGCCCTGCATTAGAAGAGGTATCATATGCACCCCTCCGGTGTCCCATGTCCCCTACCTCCCCTCCGTGCCCTGCAATAGAAGAGGTATCATAAACACCCCTCCGCTGTCCCATGTCCCCTACCATAACCCCGCCCCCTCCGTGCCCGGCAATAGAAGAGGTATCATAAACACCCCTCCGCTGTCCCGTGTCCCCTACCTCCCACCCCCATGCAATAGAAGAGGTATCATAAACACCCCTCTGGTGTCCCATGTCCCCTACCACCCGCCCCCTCCGTGCCCTGCAATAGAAGAGGTATCAAACACACCCCTCCAGTGGCCCATGCCCCCTACCTCCCCCCCTCCATGCCCTGCATTAGAGGAGGTATCATACGCACCCCTCTGGTGTCCCCCTGCGTAGAAAACTTATATCCGCCATTTGGATTTCCGGGAGATCTGACGGGTCTCTTTATGATTCATTGTCTCCAGTATTTGTTTTACAGCAAAAGATCATTTCAAACATTCCAATCTATCAATCCTTTATCATTATGTGTGTGTGTGGCCCCTACAGGGCTTACCTGTGGCCCCCAGCACTTTCCTTCAGCAGCAGGAAGGAGTTTCATCAGCCCTCACCCCCCCCGACAATCCTCTCCATCGATCTACAGATGTGACTGGGAATCTTCCGCAGAAATCTGCAGCTCCCGGGCGTCAGGCGAATCAGCGCTGTGGAATTTCCTGGTACGAGAGCTGGGATCTTAGCAGAGGTCATGTGACTGCCGGGAAAAGGAAGGGGAGATTTTCGGGTCTTCAGGCTCGCGGGGGATCCATAAAACAATGTGATTGGTCACAACGATAAAATGACCTCAGGGGAAGTTTTCTTTATAAATCACGAGAAGTGAAATGTGAAATGTCAGCAGATTAAAAACAACAAAACTGTTCAACTTCCTCCTCCCACTTTCTCCCGGGGTGAATCATTAAACACAATCCACACAATGTCAACACGTTGAACACGCCCGGCATAGTGCTGATAAACATTTCTACGCTCGGGATTGTCTATTTGTGCAACCGGGGTGACTGGGTGGCAACGTGGGAGAACAACTGGGAAATGGGAAAGAGTGTTGTCACCCTATAACAGGAGAGTTCTCTATATATTTCAGATTAGAGGTGTGGTGCCAATCCCTAGTGGTACAGTTTTTATGGGTTTGGCTAAACTCTATAACAGGAAGTGCCTAAACAAGGACCTCCATGGCAGGATCACCAGGGATTATTTCTATGTCAGGGTCACCAGGGATTATTTCTATGTCAGGGTCACCAGGGATTATTTCTATGTCAGGGTCACCAGGGATTATTTTCATGTCAGGATCAGCAGGGAGTATTCCCATGTCAGGGTCACCAGGGATTATTTTCATGTCAGGATCAGCAGGGATTATTCCCATGTCAGGGTCACCAGGGATTATTTCCATGTCAGGGTCACCAGGGACTATTTTCATGTCAGGGTCACCAGGGATTATTTCCATGTCAGGGTCGCCAGGAATTATTTCCATGTAAGGGTCACCAGGGATTATTTCCATGTAAGGGTCACCAGGAATTATTTCTGTGTCAGGGTCACCAGGGATTATTTCCATGTCAGGGTCACCAGGGATTATCACCAGGGATTATTTCCATGTCAGGGTCACCAGGGATTACTTCCATGTCAGGGTCACCAGGGATTATTTTCATATCAGGGTCAGCAGAGATTATTTCCATGTCAGGGTCACCAGGGATTATTTCTGTGCCAGGGTCACCAGGGATTATTTCTATGTCAGGGTCACCAGAGAGTATTTCCATGTCAGGGTCACCAGGGACTATTTTCATGTCAGAATCATCAGGGACTATTTTGATGTGAGGGTCACTAGGGATTATTTCTGTGTTTGGGTCACCAGGGATTATTTCTATGTCGGAGTCACCAGGGATTATTTCCATGTCAGGGTCACCAGGGATTACTTCCATTTCAGGGTCACCACAGACTATTTCTGTTAGGGTCAGCAGGGATTATTTCCATGTCAGGGTCAGCAGGGATTATTTTCATGTCAGGGTCACCAGGCATTATTTTCATGTCAGGGTCACCAGGGATTATTTCCATGTCAGGGTCACCAGGGATTATTTTCATATCAGGGTCACCAGGGATTATTTCCATGTCAGGGTCACCAGGGATTATTTCCATGTCAGGGTCACCAGGGACTATTTCTGTGTCAGGGTCACCAGGAATTATTTATGTGTCAGGATCACCAGGGATTATTTCCATGTCAGGGTCACCAGGGATTATTTCCATGTCAGGGTCAGCAGGGATTATTTCCATGTCAGGGTCACCAGGGATTATTTCTGTGTCAGGATCACCAGGGATTATTTCTATGTCAGGGTCACTAGGGATTATTTCTATGTCAGGGTCACCAGGGATTATTTCTGTGTCAGGATCACCAGGGATTATTTCCATGTCAGGGTCACCAGGGATTATTTCCATGTCAGGGTCACCAGGGATTATTTCCATATCAGAGTCGTCAGGAAATGTTTTAATAAATTTTGCAGATTTTAAAAATAATGATATTATTTTAAAAACGGCAATAAAGTGTTAAATCTTAGATCTCAATGATTGGGGTTTACATATACTACTTTATTTATATATTATATCAGATTATATTTTACCATATAATAGTAGGTTTAAGTATAACATCATATTGTATTATTTCATATTATATCATATTGTATTATATTGTCACATTTGTATTGTGTTTATTCTTTATGAAACATTACATGAACAATTTGCTTTGTTTTTTACTCCTCTCAAGGTATTTCTATTTGGTTGCAGCAGCAGCAGAATGTGACATGTGACGTACCTGACATTGTATAACATGTTTCACTTCCTGTTTACGCCCTTTTTCTGGCCGTCATTCCTCTGCTCGCAGGGACTCTCCTTCTTCTTCGAGGCTCCGGGGAAAAACAACGAGAAAATGTCCCGAGAACCAATTCCCAGGTAATGGTGACATTGTGTGTCCGGGTCTGTCAATGTCCCGGGTCTCTCATTGCCTGGGGTCTCTCATTGTCTCTGGATTGTCATTGCCTCGGGTCTCTCCTTGTCTCGGGTCTCTCCTTGTCTCGGGTCTCTCCTTGTCTCGGGTCTGTCATTGTCTCGTGTCTGTTCTTGTCTCGGGTCTGTTCTTGTCTCGGGTCTGTTCTTGTCTCGGGTCTCTCCTTGTCTCAGGTCTCTCCTTGTCTCGGGTCTGTTCTTGTCTCGGGTCTCTCATTGTCACATCTCCTTCTTTTCCTGTGAATGTTCTTTATTATGTGTATTATTTCTCTATTCATCTCCTGCACATTGTTACTTTTCTTCTTCTGCTTCTTCTTCTTCTGCTTCTTCTTCTTCTTCTTCTTCTTCTTCTTCTTCTTCTTCTTCTTCTTCTTCTCTGTGAGAAATCAACCTGAAGACACAAACAGGAAATGGAGTGATTGTGAAAGTGAAAGCGCTTTTCCCTTCCACGGCCATGTTTAAGGTGGAGGAGCCGATGTTCATGAGCTTTTCCAAAAATGGAATTTCCCGGGTGGGGGGATTCCCCGGACACAGCTGTAGTGTCATTATTGACCTTACATGGTCACATGACTATAAATGGTAAATTACGCAAAAAGGAACCCCCTCCCCCTCCTCTGTTTATGTGCAGCTGTGAGATGGGGAATGTCCAACCAGGCCCTGCCCCTTTCATGTATTGGATTTCAGTTCTTTCAATCATGGAGGCTGAGCCTCATCTAGCCCTTTCCTCCCCAGCCTGACTGTCCCTGGCCTTATTGGAAGAACTGGATTCCAGTTCTTCCAATAATGGAGGGTCAGCATCCCATGTGGGCGTTATCTAGAGTGGTCTGCACACAAATGCACCCTGTCTAGGAATGGCCACTCCTCCCAGACTCACATTCGCCCATCAAGGCATTTTGATATTTGCATAACTCTGCCCACTGCTTGCATCAGGACTGAGGGCTCTTGAGAGAGTACGGAGGCAGAGTGCTGTGATGTTTTCAGGAAGCTATGTACAGCACCCTGCTGGCCATTCCAACCAGCCAAGATCTGCCTGCTTTCACATTTGCATAACTCCTCCCACTGCTTGCACCAAGCCTGATTGCTTTTGAAAGGAGTACTGAGGCAAGGTGCTGTGCTGTTTTCAGGAAGCTATGTACAGCAATACAAAACACAAAAATTCCCCAGCCTCAGCCTGCCAGCCAGCCTGCAACAAGTAGCCCTGTCAACAGTATGCGTTAAAATCAGAGGTGCGCCCTGCTATAAAGGCCGGTTATAGATTCATGGATGTACCATTTTTTCTAGCTATGTACAGCACCCTGCCGGCTCCTCCAACCAACCAAGAGCTGTCTGCATCCACATTTGCATAACCCCTCCCACTGCTTGCTTCAGCACTGAGGGCTCTCAAGAGGAGTACTGACGCAGGGTACTGTGATGTGTTCAGGAAGCTATGTACAGCACCGTGCTGGCCCCTCCCACCAGCCATGATCTGCCTGAGTCTACATTTGCATAACTCCTCCCACTGCTTGTACCAGGGCTGAGGGCTCCTGAGAGGCGTACTGAGGCACGGTGCTGTGATGTATTCAAGAGGCTATGTACAGCACCCTGCCGGCCAAAAATTTTTGTTTTGTATAACATGAGGAAGGGTTGGGGCCTCTGTCAGCTTTTTATTGGCCTTTGTGTCAGGACAGGAAGTGATGGGAAATCTCTCCAATAGGAGACACGGACACAGACAGATTTTTCATAGAGCAGAGAAGGGTCAGATATAATGACAATGTTTATTATTGCTGTCTGCACCTTCCTGTCCTTGTAATGCCCCCCCCCCCAGGGACAGGAAGTGAGGGGAAATCTCCCCAGTGGGGGTCACATCTAAACAAATAAAAGCCTCACATACATTTTGATTCACTATCTGAGACATTTCATATTTTGTTTTCAAGGTAAGCGCGTCCCTAGAAAATCCTCAACAAGATGGAGGAAATTAGAAGAATCCAGACTGAAGGTGAGTGATATGTTTATGTTCATTAAAGACAAAGGAGCAGGAGGTGAGATGGGATTGGTTCTTCTGCTCTCGGGACCTCCAACCTCCTCTATGACCATCTGGAGGACACAGAAAGATAGCCATAGGCAGTAGAGTCATCATGGTTTGTACAATGACATCACTGCCCATACTGGTCCAGCTCCTGTTCCTTTATATCACGGCCCCAGAGCTGTTCTCACATATTTGGATTTGGCTCTAGGGCCTTTCCAATCTTGTACCCTGTCAAGTTTCTGGCCTTTTCTTAAAGTGTTCTTCTAGATAGGACTATTTTCTTTACTTTTTGGATATAGCAGGGAAGATGTAGAAAAATGTCCCTTACATTGGTGGTCAGTGAGAAGAATGTCTCTTACATTTGTGGTCAGTGAGAAGAATGTCCCTTACATTGGTGGTCAGTGAGAAGAATGTCTCTTACATTGGTGGTCAGTGAGTAGAATGTCTCTTACATTGGTGGTCAGTGAGAAGAATGTCTGCTCTCTAGCTCCCTTGTCAACTCCTCCCATGTTCGCCTCCAGGACTTCACTAGAGTCTCTCCCATCCTCTGGAACTCTCTACACCAACCTGTCCATCTATCTCCCACTCTGACTGCCTTTAGGCGATCCCTTAAGACTCATCTCTTCAGGAAAGCCGATCCCACCTCAACCTAACCACTGAATTATCACTTTCTCATACAATTCATCCCCACACAGCTACCTCCTCATGTATCACTGGCCCCTCCCTTTTAGATGGTATGCCCTCAGGGGCATGGCCCTCCTTACCATCTTGTCTTTGTCTTTGAATTATATTGTAATCTCTTCCTATTGTACAGTGCTGCGCAAACTGTTGGCACTATATAAATCCTGTATAATGATAATAATAATTCACTCTTCTGAGAAAGAGTGAAGGATAGAAAGCAGTACACTTTCCCCATTGTTGGTGTCCGGTGAAGGTCCTTGAACACGTTCTGTTGAGCAAAGATGAGCCCATATGTCGGGGAACTATCGGCCTGACTACGGTCAATCTGAGAGGCAAGGGCTTAGCAACCACAAATCTAAATTGAAATTTCCATTACTGGACTATCGATATTTTTATTTTCTATTACATTAGAACTGCAGTGAGCAAAGGGTCATCAGAAGAATGCCTTATCACTGTTGCACAATCCTCTTATTGATAAGGTGGAATATTTCATAATCTGATGCCACCGACTATCCCAGTTTTATAGCACTTCATACACTTCATACACACTAGAGTTGACAATGCGTGTTTCAGATTACCTTTTAAAGTGGAATTCTTTTTCCAGTTGACAAGTTGGATCGAAAGTTGTCTGAGTACGAATACTACGAGCTTACGCTGCTTTACGAATATTTCAAAGATGATGTTGTCTACGTCCTGGAATCTTTACCTTCTCACAGTTTCTTCTGCGAATCTCAAAATCACATGGACTTGGACACTGAGGTAAGACGTACGGCTGAGATTTTATAACACTGTTTAATGCAGAAGGTTCTGCCTGCAGTATAAAGGCTTATTATGGATTATTTATTATTATTATTTTCTAATAATATTATTCAAGAATGAGGAGACTACAATGTAAAAATGAAGTAGGGATGCACCAATACCGAATACCGAGTATTTGGGTGAGTACTTGTACTCGCCCAAATACTCCTGATGCTTCTCCCAATACTGGAACTTCTGGTATCAGCAAGCCGGCTCCATGCTCCCTCGTCAATCAGGAAGCTGGGTAGCTTGTAATGACTCACCACCTGGCTTTCTGATCAGGAAGCCAGGCGGTGAGTCATTACCCGTCCACCCCCTGGCTTTCTGATTGGCCAGAAAGCCGGCTAGATGCTCCCTCGTCACCTGGTGATGAGGGAGCATGGAGCTGGCTTCCCAGCCAATCAGAAAGCCAGGCAGCGTGTCATGACTCACCGCCCCGGCTTCCCGATTGAACAGAAAGATGCCTCCATGATCCCTCGTCACCAGGTGATGAGGGAGCATGGAGCCGGCTTCCCGGCTAATCAGGAAGCCGGACGGCAAGTCATTACATGCTGCCCATCTTCTTTAATTGGACTTCTGGTATCGGTATTAGATATCGGCGAGTACTGAAAAAAAAATATCTGTACTTGTACTCCATACCAAAAAACGGTATCGGCGCATTCCTATTAAAGATATATAAATGACAAAGACATTTCCTAGGATATCCATCCTCGTCGTATTGTGCTATTGGTACCAATGTGTCCTATGAATTTTGAGCCAGTCCCAACCAACAACCCATGACATGCTGTGTCCAAAGAACCAATATTTAGGCAATGTTGAGTGTTCACAGTCTAACACCGTCCACCGTCCTCCATGTTTGTTTAACAATACAGTTCCCTACTGCCAACATCTGATTTGTACTCTTTCACATAGTATTTATTTTACTAGCTTTCTATTTCCATGCTAACGTCTTGAATTGTCTTTGTACTTTAGCACTACAGGTCTATGGAGAAACAACTGGGTGCAGCAGCCTTTGCATCATTGCTGGTGGAAGACGTTCTAAGCATGAGGAGAGAAACTCTCATTGGGTTCTTCAAAACTCTGTGCGCTCTACAGAAAGACTACCAGCATCCAAATTTATTGGTAGTTATAAACGAGATCAACGTGGCAGATGAGAGCGGTATGTTGCCCATATGATGTATCATTTGGTTTCCAATTTGTGGGTAATCTGTGTTTCTGAATATGTTTAAAGGGACAGAAAACCAAAAGAGGCCTGTATAGTATAAGCCTGCAAGATAGGGGCATCACTGGGACCCTAGGCATGCAAGTTGTATTTTTGCCATCTGTGTCCTATTGGGTAGATTTCCCCTAAACTTTCTGTCCTGTAGATACAACAGAAAGTGAGATGAAATTTCAAAGTGAAGGAAATGCCCTCTTAGATAGTTCTCACTACAATAGGTGTTCCTGTTGGATGATTTCACCTCTATCTATACCTACTTGGGTGACAACTGAAAATTTTGGGTTTTCCCTTGCTTTCAGTCCCAGTCACAATGGTCAATAGACTGGGCCAGGAAGTGGAGATGTCTACAGTTCTGAGAATTCTTGGCACTGATTATTGTTCTATGCAGGGCCGGATTTCCCACAAGGCCAACCAAGACCCTGCCTTGGGGCAGCAGGGAATAGAGGGGCAGCAGGGGTGTGGAATGCCGTTCCGGGCACAGGGCGGGTAGTGGTTTTCTACATTTAGCACTGCTTTGGGCAAGCAGAGCTAAATGTATAGCGGAGAAGCCGCCGCTTGTTTTGTACAAGTGATCTCAGTGATTTTGCCGAGATCACTTGTATGCAGCCTGCAGGTCTGCCATACTCCATGGGCGGGTGGGGGGGTTGGGAGGTAGGGGGGCACATTGAGGAACCTGGCCTTGGGGCAGCAGATAGAATAAATCTGGCTCTGGTTCTGGCCCCTGTTCACTTGCAGCCAGGCCAATGCGGATCTTGGTCTACTATACCATGCCATGAGGACCATAATCTTCACGCAGTTGGGGAATTTCTTTGAGACAATATATTCAAGTTGATCTCTGTCCTTAATGCAGTTTTGCACAGTTGTGCAGTCAGGCTGTCCCTAGCCCTCCCTTTTAATTTCAATCATGGAGGCTCAGCATGAAATGTGGGTGTGATCGGTGGTAACGAGCAGAATAGTCGAGCCGAATGCCCCTCAGTGGCATTCGGCTATTCACTTACTGCCGTTCGGCCCCTAAGAGAATAGGGGCGAATGGCAGCGAGTGACCTGCCGGAGCTTCAGCTCAGCCGATCCAGATGTTGGATCGGCTGAGTCGAACTCCTTCTGCACTTCGGCTCAGCCGAACATGCTCTGACCGAAGGCACCCGATGTACGGCTGATTTTAGCCAATGTACGGCTGAAATTAGCCGTACAAGGCTGAAGTGAATAGCTGAACAGCGTTCAGCTCACTTCACTTTGGCTCGGTTATTCACTCGGCTGCCTTCGGCAGCTAAGTGAATAACCCCCATAGTCATTTGATATTCCAAACCCCAAACCACGGCCTGTTTATTTGATATGAATGCCCAATCTGTACTGATCTTTGTCAATCTGTACTTGATTCAAGCTCAGATTACCCTCTAGTGATTACCACTGTACCTGATAATGGCTGCACTCTTCTTTCAGATGTTCAGTTATTGGCGCACATTCTTCAGGACATGGATTCTACACTGCCTTCAGAACAGAAAGGTTAGTGCCTTATAGCTCAATTATTCTCATTGGCTTGCTAACTGTAATGCAGTTGAGCTATATACAAAGTAATAAATAGGCAAATGTTCAAATACCCTGTGCTGGCAGCACTGGAAGAGTTGGACTGAGGGTCTCACACACAAGCAGCAGCCTATTGCAGGATTTTGATAACTCAGCTTGAATCATCGCCTAAAAGAAAACTTTGGTTAGCGTGCGGAAGGACTAAAGCATTTGTATGCCACCTGTGTTCCTTTTTGTAGAGATTTCACCCCAATTCATATGCCCCTGGCCAATCAGGAGATAAAGACATTTCTAAATGAGGGCACAGGCAGGGCCGGATTTCCCACAAGGCCAACCAAAGCCCGGCCTTGGCGCAGCAGGGAGTATAGGGGCAGCAGGGATGTGGAATTCCTATCTCCCAATGCCTGGGACATGCTGTTCCGGGCGCCAGGCGGGTAGTTGTTTTCTACATTTAGCCCTGCTTTGGGCAAGCAGAGCTAAATGTACAGCGGGGAAGCCGCTGCTTGCTTTGTACAAGTGATCCTGGCGATGTCGCCAAGATCCCTTATATGCAGCCTGCAGGTCTGCCATTTTCCATGGGGGGGTGGGGGGGGTTTGGGAGGAGGGGCGGCATTGAGGAACCTGGCCTTGGGACAGCAGAGAGACTAAATCCAGCCTTGGGCACAGGTAGCTACAGAAACAGCATTAAAAACCCAAGAGAGGTCCTAACCCTTCCTCACCCTATCCAAACTGTATAATAAAGTTTTGACAAAATTTGCACTGTAAAGATTACATATCCAATGTAAAATGCTAAGTATTGCATTCATCATTGTGTCTTTTAGAAGTCTGGGGCCTTCATAAAAAACATCTGCTGGACAAGACACACACCCTTGTGGAGAAAAAACCTCCAGGAACCACCTGTAATCAACAGAAATTTCCCATTTCAGAGCGCTATTTGGATCTAATAGTTGTTTCCACTCATCAGTTTATTCAACGTTCCCAGCATGAGATCTTATGCACAGGTGGTCGACATGAACATTATTTGCAGAAAGCCAAAAATGGCCTGGAACGTATTAGCACCAACAAGCTATTCCGCTGGTGCCACCGATCCGGAACCATGCCACATGCCGTCATGGTGAGCGGGGTGCCCGGAGTAGGAAAGACCACCTTGATGCAAAAATTTGTCTATGACTGGGTGAATGGAAAACTGTATCAGAGGTTTAATTTTGTTTTTTCCTTTAAATTTCGGGACCTCAACATGCACGATAAAGATATCACCTTGGAGGAGATGATTCTCAAGGAGTATCCATATCTAGAGAATCATCTTAGGGAAATTTTTCAATGTCCGGAAAAGCTGCTCTTTGCATTTGATGGCTTAGATGAAAGTAGTCACCACATGGATTTCAATTCAAGTCAATTGTGCAGGGACACAAGGCAACAGGTAAAACTTGGTACAATTGTGGTCAGTCTAGTGAAAGCAACTCTACTCAAGGGATGTTCTGTCTTGATGACCAGTCGCCCAACCAAACTGGCAGACGTCAACACCAGTGACTTCCAGAGATTATCGGAGATCGTGGGGTTCTTCCCTGCAGAGAGAAGAAAGTACTTTGACAATTTTTTTAAAGATCCTGATTTGGCAGAAAAGGCTTTTCACTACGTGAGGGAGAACGGGACATTGTACACATTCTGTTACATCCCAACATACTGCTGGATTGTCTGTACAGTGTTATCAATGAGCTTCAGAGCCCAACCAACAATCACTGATCAGCTGATGACATCATTGCCCAAAACAGTGACACAACTCTTTGTGACTTTTGTCTCCAACCTCCTGGCCAACCACAGCCAGATTGTCAGCAAAGAACAAGCTAAACAACAGCTGAAGGCCATGGGGCAGATGGCAGAACATGGAGTCATGAACCATATTCTCACCTTTGAGCAGAGAGATCTGAATTCATTTCACCTCGATTCGTCAGAACATCTTCTATCAAGCTTCATGGTGGCGTCCAGGCAGTCCTCTTCTGTGACTTATTCCTTCTTTCATCTCACCATTCAAGAATTTGTTGCCGCCTTGGCTCATTTCATTGACTATTCTGCAGAAAGGCTAAGGTCTTCCATCGACAAAGCCCGGTCCTTCAAAGATAATCGCGGAGAGCTCTTTCTCCGTTTTCTCATCGGACTTTCTCACAACACCACCAGATCCCTTTTGGCTGCGTATTTGAATACGAATGCTTTAGAAGCATCCAGGCAGGTGATCACTTGGCTCAGTGATTTGGTTTCATCATTCAAAGTGGTAGGAGGCTCAGATGATGACAAGAAAAAGTTGCTGAATGTTTTTGCCTATCTCTACGAGTCTCAGAACGACGGTCTGGTATCAAGCTTCCTCACGTCGATGACAGGTTTCGACTTTTCAGAATTTCACTTGGCCCCGTTGGACTGCACCGTGTTGATGTTTATCCTCAAGATAAGCAGAAACACAGAAAGTCTCGATTTAGACTCTTCTTTCATTCAAAGTGAGGGCTTGGAGCGCCTCGGTCCAATTCTACACACCGTGAAAGACCTCAAGTAAGCACACTTGATTCGCAAGAAGCACTCCCGTCACTAGATGGAGCCGAGGAGCATATTTTCTATGTTCCTCAGCTCCATCTAGTGGTTTAAAAGTTCATTAACATGTAATGTACAATCCTTGAGATCTTTAACCATTTAGTAGGACAGACCATGTATGTATTTAGTTTACAACTGTATTCTCCGTGTGATCCAAAATGTATAAAATGTCAAGAATTGTCCTTATTTTCTACAGACTCTCTAACAATGACCTGAAGGATGTTGACGTGCAGATCATACTCAACATATTACTGAAGCCTGACTGCAAGATCCAGAAACTGAGGTCAGTTAGAAAGTCACAAATATGTCACGATACCGTGTACGGGTGTCCCCACACCGCCTGAAGGTATCTACACAGGTGAACCAAATACGCGACCAAACCATACAATGCTTATGAACTATAGTTGGCCCGGCCGAAAGCCTCGCAACTAACAGCTAAGCGGAGCCATACGTGATCTCATGGCTGGCTCCGTCCAGTTGCAATGAGAGATCAGCGTCCCCAGGATACCTGGGGACGCTGAACTGTCATTAAACAATGACAACTTCGCAGAGCCGGCCGTGATGTTTCTGAATTGAGAAAGCTGGAGGATGACCAGTGAAATGTCTTCTAGAAAAATACAGCAAGTCCAGTTGCCTTGACCCTGAAGCAGAACTATGAGGCGAGTGAAAATCAGTCAACCTCATAGTACGAGCCGACGTGTGACAATGAAACTGTTGCACGTCAGCTCAATAGATCGGGAAGTGAGAGAACACTTACCGAGAGCTGTGACTGTCACTCACGGCTCCCTGCAGGGATTCCCCCCTCGCTGTCCGATCCTCCAGCGCTGACTGGAGAAACCGACGGGGGGCACAGCTGGCTCTGCCTCTAGATAGGCAGAGCCAGCTGTCATTCACGCAGCTGGGTGGATCTCGACAGTAATGTCGGGATCCGTCCCGGCTGTGGCAGTCTCAGTATACCGCGAGCCGTAGCTCACTATATACTGAGCTTTGGGTTATGGGAGGACGCTAGGGCATGTCCTCCCGTGACCCTTAGCAGAACTATGGGGAAAAACACTAACCCCATACTTCTCCTTTAAATTACTGTTTTTAAATGCAAATACCCTGAGTACTTATTTTTGACTTAGCTCTGATGTCACTCTTTGCTCAGCAGCGCACATACCTCAATAGGGTGAGTGCAGCACCAGGAGCCAATTGGGTGTGCTGACAAGGAACATGTTGCCAGAAGGAGAAAGACGATAGATGACAGACAGGGAACAGGCGGGGTGACCAGGCCATAGTGCATAACCACAGTTGGGAAAAGTCAGGTATCCAGGATAGTTGTGCTGTCTGCAGAGGTTTATCTACCGCAAGGCAAACTAGGAATTTGCCTAGGGCGCCACTTTCCAGGGGGGCTTTGGGCCATGGGGGGACGCTAGTTTGTGTCCTCCCGTGATCGTGGGGAGAACTATGGGGAAAAGCACTGACCCCATAGTTCTCCTTTAATTTTTACAGATATTACATTACAATGTTTTAAGCATTTCTTGCCTATGCTCCTCAGCTCCCTCTAGTGGCCACAATTCAGTATTACATAACATTGAGCCTAAAAAGAAAATGCACTGTTGGGTTTTGCCTCTAGTCGTTCAGAGTTTCGCAGGGCGAATGGTTCTGTGAGTTGTTTATAAATAGACCCCGTAGTGTTCTCAATAATTTATGAAAATGTTTTTGCTGCTGATGACTTTCTACTGTGTGATTCTGGTTCTACCTCGGCGCCGCCCATTATGGTCACTTCAAGCACTCTCCAAGTTACGTCTGGTTTTACACCGTATGGACTGTGCAGCTCTGAACACGACTTGGACTACGGTTTTTATTGCTGCCGGTGACCCCTGTGTTGTCACTTGGACAGGAAGTGTGGGGAAATGCCACGGGCTCTCTTCATAAACAATGTAAAATATTGCCAGCTGACCCCGGCCATGTATAATAAACGCACATTTTCTTACAATTTGTCTCCAGCCTGAGGAAAAATGCTCTGACAGACACTTCTTGTCCCTTGCTGGCCCAAGCAGTAAGTGGGAACCGGACCCTGCGGGAGCTGGACCTTTCCAGGAACAACCTGACGGGGCCGAACTTTAGTCAATTGCTAATCGCCCTTTCCAGTTCCAAGATAACGCACTTGTTGTAAGTATTCCTGCAAACTTCAAACTTCACTGTACTCACTTTTCAAGGTAAAAGCCCGGAACCAAACATCCCCTACTGCCTTTGTTAGACAGAAAGGCCTCTTCCGTGCACCTCTCTGATTTAGTTTCACTTTGGAACTGGCGCCTGACATTCTCTGATATGATGGCTAAATGCCACCAATTGGCCTCCAACTGTCCAGTGAGAAGCCACCATGTTGAACACTGAAAAGTTGGTTGTCCATGAAGTCAGAGGAAGCCAGATAGCAATAGCAAACTGCAACTAAATCAGAGAGGTGCACAGAAGGAGATTTTCTGGGTGATACTTGTATCATCTGCTCATAGGCTGCATTTCTTCACTACTTTGAACCTGCAGACAGGTTCACTTAAACCTGATTTCATAGAATATTAATAATTTCTATGCTCTTTAGCTCCATCTAGTGGCCACAGTGAAATATTACATTACATTAATTCGACCTGAAAAAATACACTAAGAACGTTCGTTTTTGCCTCTATTTCCACGAACGTTCACAGAGATTCACAGCAGGAATGGCTCTGCAGATTGGTCATTAATAAACCATATACTGAGCAAGTTTCTGCACCAGAGGTGGAAACAATATCTAGCCCACCACTGAACTGTCCATGTCTATTTTCTACAGTCTTCAGCAAGTGAAACTGAGGGATGAGTATGCTGAAGATCTGCTGGTGCTCTGTAACAATGCCAACCTGACACACCTGAACCTGAGTCTGAATTATCTCACCGATGCCAGTGTCGACCACATCGCAACACTTAGACTGAATTCACCCAGCCTCCAACAGATCAGGTAATTTAGAATGTAGACATTTCCCTTGGTCTTGTAGAAGAATCTTTCCACTTTTCTCTGATTATTTATTTATTCCTGTATTTATATAGCTCTGAAAATGTACACAGAACGTCACATTCTGTACATTCGCCTCAGTCCCCGTCCCCTTACAAGCATAAGAAATAGATATTTCTTTCCTATGCTCCTCAGCTCCATCTGGTGGCCATAAGGCTGTATTACATTACAATGTTTTAAAGGAGAACTATGGGATTAGTGCTTTACCCCATAGTTTTCCGAAGGGTAACGGGAGGACACGAACTAGCGTCCTCCCGATACACAAAGCTCAGTATACCGCGAGCTGCGGCTCGCGGTATACTGAGACGCCGCAGCTGAAACGGATCCCGACAATTATGTCTGAATCCTCCCAGCTGCGTGAGTGACAGCTGGCTCTGCCTATCTAGAGGCAGAGCCAGCTGTATCCGCCCCCTCATAGTTCTCCTTAAAGCATTTATTTCCTATGCTCCTCAGTTCCATCTAGTGGCCATGATGCTGTATTACATTACAATGTTTTAACCATTTCTTTCACATGCTCCTCCGCTCCATCTGGTGGCCATAATGTAATATTACATTAAAATGACCTGTGGTTGGCACAGGGGGTAGAGATGAAGTCGACTCAGCCCATGAATAACAGTTGGCTGGAATCAGTCTGTAGTGGACTCTGTATGCAGTCGGCTGTCACTTCTTTCCAGGGCACCTCCTTGCTACAGTATGAGCACCTGGAGGATGGATGCTGAGACACTTCCCAAACCCTACCACAGAAAGCAAGATGTTGGGCTTTAGGTCCATGAATCCTTCCTGTGGGTGAATTCAATAACAATGTCATAGTAGAAGGAGTGGGGACAAGGGTAGCACAGGGCTATACTGGTAATGGTGAAAGCAAGATGGTGGGATCCTCAGTCCATCAAATATTTTTGGGAAGTTGAGTGGCGCATGCAATAACAATGTCATAGTAGAAGGAGTGGGGGGCAAGGGTAGCAGGGGGCTATACTGGTAATGGTGAAAGCAAAATGGCGGGGCCCTCAGTCCATCAAACCTTCTCGGGAAGTTGAGTGGCACATGCAATAACAACATCATGGTAGAAGGAGTGGTGGCAAGAGTAGCATGGGACTATACTGGTTATGGTGAAAGCAAAATGGTGGGCCCTAACACAATGCATGATAACACATGACACACTACACGTTAATATGCATATGGTAACACAAAAGAATGTACAGGTGTGAAGCAGGCCTAACACTATATGGGTTCACACAGGGGGAGGGGAACACTTTGCCGTGTTTGCTTTGACAGTAGAGGACCTTGTCCCGGCATTGCCTACAATTTCGGGTTACCTACCAATATCATTATATTTCCCCATTTAGGATCGGGACGAATGATTTCACCAAAGAAGCAGAAGAAAACTTCAGACAGATGCACATTACAGACTGAATGTCTGAAGATGGAGAAGAAAGACCACTGACCAGCTAGAGATGAGCGCAGAGCACAGACACGTTAATACTGATGTTGTGCTGCTACAACCAAAAATGGCTGAAATGAAGACAAAGAAGCCAAAAATATATATGTATTCAATTGAATGCATACTGTTTTCTTGTATATAATTTCTTTCTTTCCTAATCTTCACAACTAAAAAAATTAAATGTAAATAAAAAGAATACTTTGATCAGATACATATGGAACCTTGCATGTGAATAAGTGACAATTAAGTTTCTAGCCAGTAGGGGGAGCTCTAGGCTCCTTATCAGATGTTTATCTGTACATTCTTAGCTGCTCTGCTTAACAAAATACAATGGGGTCTATTCCCTAAGCTGCCGAAGGATGCAGCCGTAGCTTCAGCTGATCCTTCGGCCCCAGGACCCCTTCGGTTCAGTAGAACTATAGCCCGTACAGCTCTCGAAGTTGGCCGAGCGGTTCTGTCGAGCCGAAGGCATATGCCTCGGCTCCACTGAGCCGAGGTGAAAGTCGAAGCTGGCCGAATGCTGCTTCTGGCAGCTGGGCGGAGCCAGCCATCATCTCGCGGCTGGCTCCGGCCATTTTGCAGAGAGATCAGCGTCCCTGGTTACCAGGTAATCAGGGACGCCGTTCTATCATCGCACTGAGAACCCGGCGTGGCCGCTGTGATATCATATCTCCGTGTTCTCAGTGTGTAATGACAGATGGCATCCCTGGTTACCTGGTAACCAAGGACGCCCCAGATAGCAAGGATAACTTGCCACAAACTTGTGGCAGGGTTAAATTGTAATTTTGTTAACTTGCTGCACACATTCCTGGCAGGTTGTAGACTTGCAGAACACTTGCAGCACAAGTTCTAGTTGACACTTTTTGAATTTGTAGCAAATTTGCTTGGCAAGTCTACAGCAAGAGTCCTGCAGGTCTCAGCAAGAGCTCTGCAAGCTCGCTGGTCTGGAGACTTGCAATGCAGACTTGCTGTAATTGTGCAACAAAATTGTGAAGCTCGGCAAGTGTGCAATAGTTTAGCAAGTCATTTTCAAACTTGCAGCTCAATTGCTTGCTATCTGGGGCTGATCTGTCATTACTCTCCCGGACGCTCTGGGATTCTAATACGGCTCCCAGCGGCCCGGGAGAGAAGCACTTTCTTCCGGAAAGGTTTAGTCTGCTGGATCGAGCAGAGAAAACCTATCCTTGCGATCTGTTTTTTTTTTTTTCTGACATGGGGCCGCTGGCTGCCCTCAGTCAGAAAAAAAAAAGCCAGCATTGGAAAGCATAGCTAGATTCCTATTGGCTATTTCACTTTGCAATAGCCAATAGTAAACTAGCTATTGCACCCGCTGACTGCTGCTGTCAATCAGCAGAGGGGGACCTGCAGTTCTCCATCAGATCCCCTTCTGGTGATTGACGGCAGCAGAGGGCGGGTGCAATAGCTAGTTTACTATTGGCTATTGCAAAGTGAAATAGCCAATAGGAATCTAGCTATGCATTCCTATGGTGTTTTTTTTTTTATTCTGACGGCAGCAGAACCACCTGGCCAATAGAAAACAGTTTGGTGGAGATAGCTGTCACTGCTAGCTCCGCCCAATCGTTTTCTATTTTATTTTTTCTACTTTTTTAACTGTTTTTCTGTTCTGCTCGGTACCACAGAAGGTACCGGGCAGAATAACCGAGCAGCGACATTCGGCTATTCACTCACTGCTGTTTGGCATCTATAAGAATAGGCCGAACAGCAGCGAGTAGCCTGCCAGAGGTTAGGTTCAGCCGATCCAGATGTTGGATCGGCTGAGTTGAACTCCTCCTGCACTTCGGGTCGGCCGAACACGCTGAGCATGTTTGGCCGACCCGAAGCCGGCCGCAGTAAGCAATGTACGGCTGATTTTAGTCGGTGTGAGGCTGAAATCAGCCATACCAGCCTGAAGTAGACATGTGCGATTCGCTTCGTTACGAATCGAAATTCGTACGAATTTTCCTGAAATTCCGAATTTCGGAAGCATCCGAATCCGAATTGCATTTTCCGAATTATATATCCGAAATACGAAATTCCGTTCCGAATTTCGGATCCGAATTTCTTTGAAATGGGAACTAATATTACCCCTGTAAATGAGGTTGAACAACATGACAAGATTTTTTTTAAATCCGAAATACGGATCCGCTGCTGCTGAGAGTTGCATTACAATACATACAGGCAGGAAATACGAAATTCCGTTACGAACATCCGTTATATTGAAGGTAAAAAGCAAAGTACATTTATATCGGAGTTGATTGATGGTAGTTTTTTTTAAAATCCGAAATCCGTATACGGAATCTGTTAACGGAATTCGTATTTCGTTTTGGTTGACCAATCAGAGGTTCTCTTCTGCTGCTGAGAGTTGCATTACAAATACAGGCAGGAAATACGAAATTCCGTTACGAACATCCGTTATATTGAAGGTAAAAAGCAAAGTACATTTATATCGGAGTTGATTGATGGTAGTTTTTTTTAAAATCCGAAATCCGTATACGGAATCTGTTAACGGAATTCGTATTTCGTTTTGGTTGACCAATCAGAGGTTTTCTCTTCTGCTGAGAGTTGCATTACAATACAGGCAGGAAATACGAAATTCCGTAGACGGAATTTCGTTCCGTTACGAACATCCGTTATATTGAAGGTAAAAAGCAAAGTACATTTGTATTGTAGTTGATGGTAGTTTTTTTTTAAATCCGAAATACGGAATTCGGATACGGAATCCGTTAACGGAATTCGTATTTCGTTTTGGTTGACCAATCAGGTTTTCTCTTCTGCTGTTGAGAGTTGCATTGCAATACAGGCAGGAAATACGAAATTCCGTTACGAACATCCGTTATATTGAAGGTAAAAAGCAAAGTACATTTATATCGGAGTTGATTGATGGTAGTTTTTTTTTAAATCCGAAATCCGGATACGGAATCTGTTAACGGAATTCGTATTTCGTTTTGGTTGACCAATCAGAGGTTTTCTCTTCTGCTGAGAGTTGCATTACAATACAGGCAGGAAATACGAAATTCCGTAGACGGAATTTTGTTGCGTTACGAACATTCGTTATATTGAAGGTAAAAAGCAATGTACATTTATAATTTTATATTGGAGTTGATGGTAGTTTTTTTTAAAATACGAAATACGAAATTCGGATACGGAATCCGTTAACGGAATTCGTATTTCGGATAAAAAAAACAACTACCACATCGACTCCAATATTAACAAAGGTATTTTGCTTTTTAACGTCATCATAACGAATGTTCGTACAGTTACGAAACTATAACAGCCACTAACGAAATTTCGTATTTCGTACGAATCCGAATTGAGTTTTGACACGAATTACGAAATGAAACGAAACAGAACGAATTTTTTGACGGCGCACAAGTCTAGCCTGAAGTGAATAGCCGAACAGCGTTCGGCTCACTTCACTTGAGGTCGGTTATTCACTCGGCTGCCTACGGCAGCTTAGTGAATAGACCCCAATGTTATTCATAGGGCTCAACAGCTCAAGCTCAAATATGTACATAGCTGCATGAGTGAGATGAGTTAATACCCCTCCCCTCCGCCCCATCCCCCATCCTTGTTTTCTCCAGAGAGGGATGCCTGAAGTTATCAATATTTATTGCTGCACTGCAGTCAGGCTGAACATGCAGTAATAAATATCTTCTTTGCTCTCTTTAATTTTACTAAGTGCTGCAGGAAGGGGTTAAAACACCCTGTGGCCTCGCTGTCCCAGGGTCCGACATAACCCCCTGCATGCTGCTCCACTCACTATTGCTCTCACCGCCTGAGCAGAGCTGTTGATTGGAGCAGTGTGCAAGAGCAGTGGTCTGACTCTCCAGAGTCTTTTAACCCTTCCTGCATCACATAGTCAGTAAAGGAAAGTATTACAGTAATAAATATTGAGGCTTAAAAGAGAAGCAAAGCCAATCTTTTTTTTGGCTATACTTGGGTCTTGGTTATGTTGGGTAATAGGAGCACAGTTCCTATTGTACTCCGATGACCCAAAGTCTGCCAATACTGAGCTAATGCCTTCTATTGGCTGACAGGGCAGAGCTAATCCACGGTCGAGAAGGATCCCGACAATAATTTTGGGGTCCACCCTGGACAGCTGGCTATGCCGCTCTAGAGGCAGCCATGCCCGTTCCCTCCCTGACCTGTAGCTCCAGCCAGCACTGGAGGAGCAAAGAGGGAAGGGCGAAATCCCTACAGGGAGCAGTGATTGGCAGTCACTACTCTCCACTAAGAGCAATGCTGAGAGCTAACTGATCAGCGGTCATGTGATCGGTCAGCTCTTGGTCTTAGAGCAGGTATGGTACAGCTGAAGCATCCCACGGCAGCCTTAAGCATTGCGGAGGGTTTTAGTCTTTCCATTCTTCTCCTTAAAATGAAGCTTTAATGAGAAGATATTTCATATATATGTATGTGTATGTATGTATGCATATACAGAGTGGGCCAATGGTAAAGTAGCCCGCCTCCGGCGATAGCATGACAAGATTAACAAGCAAGTGGATTGTTTTTATTCACTTACCCACAAGTTACAACTGATGCTGAAGGTGCCCCCCCGTTCACATCTATGCACCTTTGGGTACGTCAGAGCATGTTGGCTGATACTGCTTGCAGCTCTTCAACAGTGTTGCTGCGCAGGGGCGTAACTAGAAATCACAGGGCCCCATAGCAAAATTTTGCATGGGGCCCTGTAACTTCTAGTTATGCAGAGCCCACTTGAGATCCCACGCAGCCCACCTGAGGGTGACCCTGCAGAGCCCACCATAGACTCTCTATGGTGGGCTCTGCAGGGTCACCCTCAGATGGGCTGGTCACACTCCTTACCTGTCTGCCTCCTCTTCCTGCACGATCGCTGATGGGCCCCGCTTCCTCCTCCGTCGCTGGGCCTGCCTC